AACATGTGAGTGGGAGTGCAGTACGGTTCACATGGGTGCATGTGTTTTCATGCTCGTATACCTGGGGCTGTCTTTGGGAGCGTGCCCGCTGTTTGCAAATATCATCATGGTTCAAGGCGTGCGCGTGCATGTCAACATGTGAGTGGGAGTGCAGTACGGTTCACATGGGTGCATGTGTTTTCATGCTCGTATACCTGGGGCTGTCTTTGGGAGCGTGCCCGCTGTTTGCAAATATCATCATGGTTCAAGGCGTGCGCGTGCATGTCAACATGTGAGTGGGAGTGCAGTACGGTTCACATGGGTGCATGTGTTTTCATGCTCGTATACCTGGGGCTGTCTTTGGGAGCGTGCCCGCTGTTTGCAAATATCATCATGGTTCAAGGCGTGCGCGTGCATGTCAACATGTGAGTGGGAGTGCAGTACGGTTCACATGGGTGCATGTGTTTTCATGCTCGTATACCTGGGGCTGTCTTTGGGAGCGTGCCCGCTGTTTGCAAATATCATCATGGTTCAAGGCGTGCGCGTGCATGTCAACATGTGAGTGGGAGTGCAGTACGGTTCACATGGGTGCATGTGTTTTCATGCTCGTATACCTGGGGCTGTCTTTGGGAGCGTGCCCGCTGTTTGCAAATATCATCATGGTTCAAGGCGTGCGCGTGCATGTCAACATGTGAGTGGGAGTGCAGTACGGTTCACATGGGTGCATGTGTTTTCATGCTCGTATACCTGGGGCTGTCTTTGGGAGCGTGCCCGCTGTTTGCAAATATCATCATGGTTCAAGGCGTGCGCGTGCATGTCAACATGTGAGTGGGAGTGCAGTACGGTTCACATGGGTGCATGTGTTTTCATGCTCGTATACCTGGGGCTGTCTTTGGGAGCGTGCCCGCTGTTTGCAAATATCATCATGGTTCAAGGCGTGCGCGTGCATGTCAACATGTGAGTGGGAGTGCAGTACGGTTCACATGGGTGCATGTGTTTTCATGCTCGTATACCTGGGGCTGTCTTTGGGAGCGTGCCCGCTGTTTGCAAATATCATCATGGTTCAAGGCGTGCGCGTGCATGTCAACATGTGAGTGGGAGTGCAGTACGGTTCACATGGGTGCATGTGTTTTCATGCTCGTATACCTGGGGCTGTCTTTGGGAGCGTGCCCGCTGTTTGCAAATATCATCATGGTTCAAGGCGTGCGCGTGCATGTCAACATGTGAGTGGGTGTGGATGCTGTTATGTATGTGGGGGGCATGTGAGTGCGCATGTGCGAATGTGCGCGCAGGTGTATACATGTGTTGACTACGCATGCATGTGTGTGCAACCTTCTTTCTGAGCCTGTTTTCTTCCCACGCACATGCGTGTGTGTGTGTGCCTTAGCTTGCTTCCCATGATCTCTGCCTGTTTTTTGCTCATTTTCCATGCCCGTGTTTTTCTCGTGTTTTCTACTCTCAGGAAAAAAGCGCAAGCAAACGCCGAAACAAGCAACGCTTTTGACGAAAACAACACCGGCAACAACGACGGAACAAACGCTCGAGAAACCACGCCTCTAAAGGGAGGTGACTATAGTGAAAATGCGGGTGCTCCTAATGATGCTTCCAACCCCAAGAAGATCGCTCTTCGAGCAAGCCAAGCCCTGCCGAGAAGCTTTGTCTTTGATGAACTGCAAGATGAGGAGGGGGCAGAGATTGGGAAGGGTCGGGATCGGGAGATAGAGGCGGACGAGGAGGAAAACGGTGGGAGTGGATGTGGGGTTGGGAGAGTGAGTGAGTCGCAGCAACAGCGGCAGCAGCAGCAGCAGCAGCAGCAGGGACAGCAGCAGCTGCTGCAGAAGTATCCTGTCCAGCCAATCAAGAGAGAGGATGTGAAGCAGCGGCCGTGGCGGCAGCGGCAGCAGCGGAGCCTAGAGGATGAGGAGGAGGGGCCAGTAGAAGCAGCAGCAGCAGCAGCAGCAGCAGCAGGGGCAGCAGCAGGGAGGAGGAAAGCAGCGGCACATGGTCTCTTTCAGCAGCACAGTACACTTTGGCAACAGCGCCAAACACAGCAGGAGCGGTAGCAGCAGGGGCAGCAGCAGGGGCAGCAGCAGGGGCAGCAGCATCGCACGCAGCCACAGCAGCAGCCGATCCTGGTCGAATCTTACCCGAGTAAAGAGTCAGCTGCACCACTCATGGGCTGAACTGGTCTCCATCTATAACGAAGGCTCCAGTGTCATTTCCCACCACTCTGCTTCTTCTGCTGCTGCTTCCGGTGCAAGCCCGCTTGTCCGTGCGCTTACTACCGCAGGTAGCAGCCCTCTTTCGAACCGGTCGGCATCCACAGGCAGTACTACCCACGTGATTACTGCTGCTGGCTACTCTTTCGCTTCGCACCGCAGTGTTGGGAGTTCCCTTGGGAGCGGTCGCCTTGGAAGCACCAGCGGTTCTGATGTTGTTACTATGATGCAGCGAGCTTCCAGCAACAGCAACAACACACGCATCGTAATTGATGCCAGTGGTAACCGCGTTGTGTTACCGCATGTTTCCGGCAACAGCAGTGGAGCCAGGCGCTCTGATACCATGCCGGTGCTCCGAGCCATGCCGAGCTCTGCCAGTCTTCCGGACCTAGCCAGGCTCAGATCAAACAACGGAAGGTTCGGGCTCCCACCAACAGCTCGTGGTCCGAGCCCGGGCCTGAGTCCGGGCCTAGGAGGCCAGTTTTCCCAGCTTGCCACTCCGACTGGTGCTGCCCTGACCTGTCAGAACAGCCCTCAGGGCTCTCACAATGAAATGCACAAAAGCTCATCGGACAGTAGTGATGATCCCAAGGGAGGCACGATCCAACGGTCCTCTTTAACTCGAGCGTTGGAGGATGATGATGACGATGATGACGGGACAGGGAGAGAGGGAATGGGATCTCAAGGGTCGGCAGCTGGCACAGCTGCCAATCCACAAGCGACACCTGGCAGGTCACCCGAGGCTGGGTCCCAAGGCTTGGTCCGAACCACAGCTTCGGTGGGGAAGATTTGGAACCATTTAGGTCCGGGGAAGCGGTGGCAGAAGAATCTAAAGGAGCAGAGGGAGAGAGTGGCTGCGATGGGGACGTTCCATCGGGATTTGTTGCAACAAACGGCGGATAGTCACTCAAGATCGTTAGAGAAGCTGAGAGAGTTGGGGCAGCAGATGCCTTATGGGGGAGTGAGGGAGGGACATATGGGTATGGGCGCATCAGGGCGCATTGGCAGTGCCATTGAGACAGGAGACCGGTTCAGTCGAAGGGCGTCAGTGGTTTCGGGACGGAGGATGGAGCATGTGGTATCAGAGCCGACTTGTGTGCTGAATAGGGCTGGACTAGGATGACAAGATTGTTAAGAACGTGAGCTGTTGAAGTTATGTGGAACAAGTGAAGACGGGGTCCAACCATTGAACATTGAGTTGTTTTCGAAAGAGGATCGCCTAGCAGAAAGAAGGCATCAAGCAGGAAAGGGGGTATGCAGTGAGGATATATACCTATATTTGGGTCCTGTATAAATTGACCAAATAAGGTGGTGATTACGACAAGCCTAATGAACAGTGCTATTTGCAGTAAGTTTTTTTTTTTCTGCAATTTTGAAGCTTTAGTAACTAGATGCTGTATAGCCATGAATAGGCTGCACACTGTAACTGCTTCGCTGAATCGCTGACAGCCTAGACGAAAAAAGCGAACGACTTTGTGAGTCAAGCCAAGTCCGTCCATTTTATCCCACGAGCCCACTTGTTCCTTTGTAGCCGCTCAATCAGCGCCGCAGCACGTGCATCCTGGCAGCTAAGCGGTTACGCGCGGAACCACTTTGGTGTCGCGCGGAACATACAAAGGTGTGGCGCTTTACAGTGCGGCGCAGGGTATGCGCTGGCATGGGGGGAGCCTTGGCGGAAACAAACACAGCGGGAAAGGCGCAGGGACTTCCGGTCCGCGCCTCGTCCCGTCATCTCGTCTCGTCAGCCCTTCTCTTCTCCCTCACCAATCCCCCAGATATTGGTTTCGCGCCATATTGCCCTGTTTTCAGTGTTCGTAATCTCTAAGAATCCTACACAACCGTCTGTTTAGGGTGACGGACCCTGTTGAACCGATACATAAGTCACGTAACCGTATTCACGAAATGAAGGCGGCAAGTTCTTCGACGCGTCAGAAAAGTGTAGCTTAGCTGTCAGTCGTCTTCCCTGTCAGTTGGGCTGTGGCAGAGAAGTGCAGTTATTAGCCATAGAGGAGGGAGGACATACAAGGAGAATCGTTGACAGTAACATTGACCTAACCAACGGAGTTATGCAATGCCTTATTGTGCGCTGCGCTGCGTGAGTTAGAAATCCGCCGAGAGATGACGCAAGTGAAGCAGGCTGGAAGAATGTTCATGCACAGCGTGAGTTAGGACTGCATAATTATTCCGCTGGAGTCTGTAATTCAAAACTCAATGACGGTAGAAACTCTGGGAATCACCGAAGCGGCTAGTTTTCCCGCAGTATGGGGCGTATGCAGATAACCGCGTGTAGCGGAACACCGTAGAACCTAATCCCACCATTTTCCTTCTACTACCTGGTCTTTTGCTCTTTGCTCGTTCGCAGTCGCTCTTCGTTTCAGTGTTGCTGAGCAACATTAGCACAACATTAGTCCAACATTAGTCCGTCACTTGACGCTAGACACTAGCTCAGGGAGGCTCGTTCAGGCCGAGCGACCCGTTGCTGTAACGACATTCGCGTCTGCTTCTCCTGCCGCCTTTCGTCCGAGTTTCCGCTGTCGCCACTGTTCGTTAATGTCGCCGTCGTGAGCATTTCCCGAGACGCCCGCGACATTAGTAGCTATCGATACGCATCCCTTCTAAGAAATTGCTTCACAGAATAGTTAAAGACGTCCCCGTTATAGTACGGATTAGAAGCTCTTGTTATCGAATCCACGAAAGGCATGACCGCGTCGCTATACGACCGCAACATCAACAACTATCGTCGCCGTCGATCATGTCGCTAATGTCGCGAACGTCGTTAATGTCGCCATCGCCAGCGTAACCATGACCCTAGACGACCACAACATTAGCAGTTGCCGTTTCGCTTCGTGTAACACCTCGTTCGCCTCAGATCGCGGCGGGGACGGCGGGGATCAGGCTCTGGAAATCCAACGGTCAGGAGCGTCCCCTGTGATGGAGGGGGAAGAAGCGGAGAGCGGCCAGGAAATTAGGGTTTCGGCTGCCGCTACTAGCGAAATGATAGAAGATTCAGTAGCAAAAAGTCTTTCCGATTCAAGACGGGACAACGGCAGCAGCCATGAAGAGCTCGTACGCGATGCCAACGCCTCGTTACCAGAGGTAAGAGGGTTACTCAAGTGTGTTGGTAGACTCAATTTATGAATTATATCGAGTGTGTAAGCGGCATGAATTTCCCGCTCTTAATGTTCTTCCTTCCCTCCCTTTTCTGAACCATTCTTCTCGCCCTCCCTTTCCCGTCGTTTCTCCTTCCCATCGAACCCTAACCAGCTTCTACCGAACTTGCCCTTCCAGCCTATCCTTGCCCCAATCCGCCCTCCCCAGCTGCTGTGCGCCGTTTCGCGCCACACCCGGCACCAGGCGGACGCCGTCCTGCCCGCCCTCATCTCCTTCCCCCCCACTCCCCCTTTGTCCCCCATTCTTCCCCCGTTCCACAGCTGCTGCGCGCCTTGTTGCGCCACCCAGGCGTCAGGCGGACACCGTCCTGCCCGCCCTCAACTCCTTCCCCCGTCCCTCCTACCCCTCTTCCCCACCTACTCCCCCCCCCCAGCTGTTGCGCGCCGTTTCGCGCCACCCACGGCGGCAGGCGGACGCCGTCCTGCCCGCCCTCTCGCGCCTGCTGGACCTCCAAGCGCGCCTCACAGCCGCGCGCGCCCCTCTCGGGGGAGCCCCGCTCGCAGAAGGGGGAACTCAGGGAACTGAAAGACCCGAGGGAACTGAGGGCGCGGAAGAGAGTGGCGGAGGGGGAGGAGGGGGGGTTGAGGCAGGTAGGGAGGGAGGGGGAGGTGCAGCACCAGGGGAAACGTCACTAGCGGCAGCACCAGCAGCGCCGATAGCAGCAGCAGCAGCGCCGCCACCACCAGAGTTGTCACCGTGGCAGCAGCTGGAAGAGCAGCTTTCGTTGGACGAACCCGATAGTGGCACAACAGGTCAAACAAGTCAAACTGGTCAAACAGGACAGACTGGTCAAACGGGTCAATCTGAGTCAGCCAGTCAAGCAAGTCAAGCAAGTCAAACCGCAGAAGCCTCCCTACACGAGATCCAAACCCTCCTCTCCCGCATTGACGCGCCACTCTCTCACGCGTTAGACCTGCTCGAGCAAGAATTCGCAACCGTCCTTTCCAAATCCAACAGGAAACTCAGCCTCCACATTCTTAAAGCCGCACTGCACATGCAGAACCTCGCGATTCTCCCCAGCCCGAGAACCCGAGGTGGAGGAGGAGCGGGGGGAGCAGGCCTAGGCGGGAGTGGGGCAGGTTTCGGGGCAGGGGCAGGGGGGAACCGCCGGGGGGGGTCGTTTTCAGTCACAGGGAATTTGTTTTCTAAGGGGTTGGGGGGGGACGGGGGAGAAGGGAGTGGGGGAAAGTACACCCCGTCAGGGGCTCGCCCCCCCCCGTCGCCTTCTTCCCCTGCTAACAAGCAGCATGGGAGAGCGGCGAGCCAGTTTCTGTTTGACGATCCGATGCTGATCGAGTACAACGCGTCGCTGTCCGCCCGAACCTCCTCGCCGCTAGGCTCGGGCCGAGCCCCTGGACTAGGTTCTGAAGGTGGGGGAGGGAGTGTGGGGGCGAGTGGGGGCCCTGGTCCGTCGCTGTTATCCCCCATGGGCGGTGGGACTGGCTCGTCGCTGTTGTCTCCTGTGGGGTGTTCCACTCCTCAATCCACGCTCTCTGATGCGGTGCTAACGGCTACGGCTAGCAGCAGCACGAACACGAGCAGCAGCAGCATTGCGGCTGTGAGTGGGCCGTTGGAGAGTCTGTTTATTGGGTCGGATGGGGCAGGAGCGGTGGGGTCAGCAGGCGCTGCTGCTGCTGCTGCTGGTGGCACTGGTGGGGATGGTGGCAGCAGCGTTGGAGGTGGTGGTGTCAGTGGTGGTGTTGGGATCAGTGAGAGCATAAGTGTTGATGGAGTTAGCAGCATTGGCGTGTTTGAAGGAGGAGGGGGTGTGATGAAATCCCGATCCGCCATCCAGCCAACTCTGCAGATTTCCTCCTCCTTTCCGGTTCAAGAGAACAAGTTCGGGATTATATCGTCGAATTCCTTATCCCTGCCCCGATCTGCTGCTGCTAGTGCTGCTGGGGATGGAGAGGCCTCCGCTCCCCCCCCTAGAATCACTATTCCCCCGGTTTATTCCGATGGGTCTGGGTGTACTCCCACCGGTATAGTCACGCCCACTTTTGGAACAGCTGCTGCTGGCTCTGATGCTGCTGGTGCTACCGCTGGTGCTACTGCTGCTGCTGCTGCCAGCGCTGCTGCTGGAGCAGGAGCAGCAGCAGCAGGAGTGGTGGTGGGAGAAGGCAGTGGAGAGGCTGAAACTGGGGCAAATCAGCAGCAGGAGGGGTTTGAGGGGAGCAACAGTGCTCTTACTGAACCTGCTGCTCACACTGCCTCTGCTGCTGCTGTTGGCACTGGCACTGTCACTGCTGCTGCTACTGCTGCTGCTGCTGTTGGCACTGCTGGCGCCGCTGGTGCTGGGATTGGAAATAGGCTAGGGAAGGGAGCAGCTGCAGGAGCAACAGCAGCAGCAGGAACAGCAGGAGCAGCAGGAGCAGCAGGAGCAGCAGCAGGAGCGGTGATATGCAAGGAGCTACAGGCCGTGGGCGAGTGGGCGGAGTGGTTACCAGTGGCAGAGGTGCCGTGGCTCAGAAAAGCGGCTGCTGTGGTCATCCGCGCCCGAGGGAAGCCGCACTTTGCTGCGCTCTACTGGTGAGTTGCTGTGTGGGGTGGCGTGGCAGGTGGGTGGGCTGGGATTGAGTGGGCGAGTGGGCGGAGAGCGCGGGCCATGGGAGGGCACGGCTACACGATTTCAACTGTGCTCCTTGCCTGTGCAGCAAGGCGCGTCAAGCAACGGTGGTAGGTGCGGTGGAGAGTGTGAGCATGAAAGAGTACACAGCAGGCCGTGGCGTTGCAGGGCAGGGCATGGCATGGCTAAAGCATCCCGTTGTGCCCCTCCCCTACTACTTTCCTTCCTTCCGCCCCTGTGCAGCAAGTCGCGTCAAGCATGGTGGCGAGTGCGGTGGAGAGTGTGAGCATGAAGGAATACACCGCAGAGGAGACACACCCAGGCTACATGTGATGACGTCTCGATAACCCCTACCGTGCCTCCATGCCCTCGTGTTGCTTCTCTTGCTCGCACAACAGCAAGGCAAGGCAGGTAACGGTGACAAGTGCGGTGGAGAGTGTGAGCATGAAGGAATACACCGCAGAGAAGACGCAGGCCATGGCGTGGGGCGTGGTAGGTCCCTAAGCCTTACCTTCTTGCCCTTTATGCCTCTTTGACTGTCTCTTCCCTTGCTCCTCTTGTGCAGCAAGGCAAGGCAGGCAACGGTGGCGAGTGCGGTGGAGAGTGTGAGCATGAAGGAATACACCGCAGAGGAGACGCAGGCCATGGCGTGGGCGGATCTGGAGCCGTTGATCAAGCTATGGATCAGAGACATCAGCATCCTGGTGAGTGGCATATGGGGTGTAGCAGTGAGCAGAGGAGACGCAGGCCATGGCGTGGGCGGATCTAGAGCCGTTGATCAAGCTATGGATCAGAGACATCAGCATCCTGGTGAGTGGCATATGGGGTGTAGCAGTGAGCAGAGGAGACGCAGGCCATGACGTGGGCGGATCTAGAGCCGTTGATCAAGCTATGGATCAGAGACATCAGCATCCTGGTGAGTGGCATATGGGGTGTAGCAGTGAGCAGAGGAGACGCAGGCCATGACGTGGGCGGATCTAGAGCCGTTGATCAAGCTATGGATCAGAGACATCAGCATCCTGGTGAGTGGCATATGGGGTGTAGCAGTGAGCAGAGGAGACGCAGGCCATGGCGTGGGCGGATCTAGAGCCGTTGATCAAGCTATGGATCAGAGACATCAGCATCCTGGTGAGTGAGAGGCACATGGGAAATGATGTCTTTACATGCATGGCAGGCAGGGCGCTGCACAAGGAGAAAGGGTGGAGGGGGCGGGGGATGGAAGGGGTGTAGGGGGAGGATTCATGGCTGGCGGGGTCTTGTGCTGCTCGTAAGAGAGAAGCTTCGGCGAAGGTTCTCCTCCCTCTTCTCAAACTCTCCTCCTCCCTTTCCTGTCCCTTGCCTCAGGTCCTCTCCTTTCCTCCACTGTCTGTTCCCCCTCGGTTCCCTTGGCTTCCGTGCTTGCCCCCACCTGGTGCGTGTTCGCTTCTTCTCCGAGCATCAGCTCATCAAGGGCGTTCTCGACACCACTCAGTCCCATCCCCACTCTCACTCCCTCTCCCCCCTCACACACCCTTGTCCCCCTTGCCTCCCTTACTTCGCTAACTTTCCGTGCTTCCACCCCACCAGCTGCGGGTTCTCTTCTTCTCCGAGCATCAGCTCATCAAGGGCGTTCTCGACGCCTCTCCAGCCACCAACAATAGCATCAGTACCACCACCAGCGGCAATAGTGGCAGCAGCGGCAGCACTGTTGGTACCACCGTCAATGCTGAAGCTTCTGCAATCGCCAACAGTTCAATCCCTGCCGTTCCTGACTCTGGATCAGACCTCGTCTCGCATGCTGGCCCCACGTGTGAAACACCTGAAGAAACTCCTGAGCCTGTTCCTGGGGAGCTGAAGGCAAATGACACCACGGCCCACAGCATGCCCCACAGCACGTCCCAGAGTACACCTGAGAATACACCTGAGAGCAGCAGCAGCAAGCGCACGGAGCAGGTTGTCCGGAAACCCGCGGAGCACCTGATGAGTCCGGACAGCGTGCTTCGGCATCTAGTGGGGTCGGTGGGCGGCGTGAAATCGACCCTGTGTGTGCTGTGCGCGAATGCAGCAGCCATTGCTGCGTCTAAGAGCGCCCCTGAGAAGATCTTCGCGCTGCTGGAGGCATACCGCACTGTGGCTGACCTCTCCCCTCAGGTACGACTGGTGCAGGTGGTGACCAGCTACTAGAGGTGATAACCAGTCAATAGAGGTGTTAACCAGCTGTTACAGTTGGTAACCAGCTATCGGTTCCAGGTTACTACTCCCCTCCCCACCCCCTCCCCACTCCTCCCCCCACCCACCTGGCGGGCCCTGCCGGACTGGCAGCGCCTCTCACCACAACTCTTGTTCCTCCCACCCCCACCCTCCTCTTTATCCCCCTCCTTTCCGCACCTCCTCCCCTTGAACAGGCCCTCCCGGTCTTCCTCGCTCTCCCCAAGAGCGATTCAGACGATCCTTTCTTACAGTACCTCCCCAAGCTCTGGCAGCGCCTCTCACAGCTCGCCCAAGCTCTGGCAGCGCCTGTCACAGCCCCATCCCTTCCTCTCCTTCCGTCCCCCTGCTCCCCTACCCTCAGGCCCTACCAGTCTTCCTCGCCCTCCCCAAGAGCGATTCAGACGATCCCTTCAAGCTTTGGCAGCGTCTCTCACAGCTCTTCGTGGGAGCCATCTTTGCCACTCTGGACGAGCTCAACCACCCCCTTTCCTCCCCTCCGCTTCCTCACCTCCTTCCCCTTCCGCCCTTGCCCTCTCCCCCCTGCTCCCCTCCCCTTCAGGCCCTCCCTGTCTTCCTTGCTCTCCCCAAGAGCGATTCAGACGACCCCTTCAAGCTCTGGCAGCGCCTCTCTCAGCTCTTCGCAGGAGCCATCTTCGCCACTCTAGACGACCTCAACCGCATTCTCAGAGACGTGTCAGCCTTCGTGCCAGCCAACCAGGCGTCTGGGAGCTCTCCCATGAAGAAGAAGCTGCTCAGGTGAGGGAAGAGATTCTGGTTTTCCAAGTTCCTATGGGTTGCCTCTCTTGCAGCTCTTTGCCGGAGCCATCTTTGCCGCTCTCGACGAACTCAACCGCATTCTCAGGGACGTGTCAGCCTTTAAGCCGGCCAACCAGGCATCTGGCAGCTCTCCCATGAAGAAGAAGCTGCTCAGGTGAGGAGAGGTTAAGGTATTAGAGAGAGTCGGCTGTATTCTCAGGACCTCAGGGACGTGTCAGCCTTTGTGCCGGCCAACCAGGCGTCCGGTAGCTCTCCCATGAAGAAGAAGCTGCTCAGGTGAGAGGGGTGTATGATTGATGAGATCTTTGGGTGTGTTGACGGCGAATTGAGGGCGTTAAGTCCCTCTGGAGCCATATTCGCCACCCTCGACGAACTTGATCGCATCCTCAGAGATGTGTCAGCCTTTGTGCCAGCCAATCAGGCCAGTGGCAGCTCTCCCATGAAGAAGAAGCTGCTCAGGTGAGAGGAGGTTTGGTGTGGGAATGGGACCCACCCTTGGGGTGGCACTGTTACAAGTGTTCCCTGTGAACCCATCTTAGCCACTCTGGATGAGCTCTCAACCGCATTCTCCTCTTCTTTCTCCACTGCTCTGCCTCACATCACATGTACCCCTTATAGGCTGATTCACTGGAAGTCCTCGGAGCAGAAGGCCACAAACGAGGAGGAGGTGGATATCGGCGTGCATAAAGTAACAAGCTACGTGATTAACTTCATCGCACAATTAATGGATCGGGAGAGCCGTGCGGACCACTATGGAACCCTAGAAATGGTCTATAAGAGGCACGCAGCGGATAAGAGGCTCATAGGCTTGGCTACTATAGGAGGGGCGAGTTTCAGGGACAGGGGAGGGGGAGGGGGAGGGGGAGTGGGGGGGGGAGGCGGAGGGGGGAAGGGTGGGGGGAGCAGCGGGGGGAGCAAGACCGGGGGGGGTATACTGGGAGCGGTGTACAGCGGGCAGGGGAGTCACAGCAGTAGAGGCATGCAGGGAAGCCAGGCCAGTCAAGGGAGTCAAAGTGGTGGTCGAAGTGGTGGTCAAACGAGTCAAGGCAGCGGTCAAACAAGTCAAGGGGGGAGTCAAACAGGTCAAGGGGGGAACCAGCTGCAGCACCCGAGCGCGGGCGGCAGGCGCCAGCTGGCGGCGGAGATGGAGGGGTTGCTGGATTCGTTGCTATTCAACATGGAGGCGCGCGGGCGGGCGATACAGGACCCGGCGATGGGGGCGCTGTTTGTGATGAACAACGCTCACTATGTGGCTGGTAGCATGTGAGTAAAGGGGGGATTGGGGGGGAGGAGGTGAATAGTGGTTGGGAGGGCAATTCAGGACTCTGCGATGGGGGCGCTGTTTGTGATGAACAACGCTCACTATGTGGCTGGGCAGCATGTGTGTGTGATTGGGGTGCTGCAGGGTGTGAGGATAGAAGGCAGATTTGAGTGTAGAATGCCCACTAAAAAACAGAAAGCGAGTGTGCTGGACTTCACAACATGCCCGTCACTGCTCCTATCGCTTTATCTCTCTTCCCCTCCCTTCCCTCTCAATGTTGCAGCAAGGATGAAGGACGCATTGAAGCAGCAGGACCTAGTTCCACTGCCTACCCCTGCACTGCTCCCCTGTCTTAGCTCTCTTCCCTTCTTCCTCTCTTCTTCCCCTCCCTTCCCTCTCAGTGTTGCAACAAGGATGAAGGACGCATTGAAGCAGCAGGACCGCATCGCAGCCTACGAGGCAGCCTTTGATAAAGCAGGCCTTGCAAAGGTGAGCGCACTTGTGATGCTAGGGGTTGCTGCTGGGAGAGGTTTCCCGCTGGATGTTTTCTAGAGTTGCCCAAAACACTCTGCGGAATCGAATATTTAGACGGCTTAAAAATCGTCGAAACACTCTCTTATAACACTTTCTCTTCCTCCCACCTGTCCTTCCTACCCTCCATCCCTCCTTCCGTACCGTTTCCCCCTCCATCCTTTCCTTTCCACCAGCTCATGGCATGTTTGGCGCCTGAGGAGGTATCTGCAAAGCTCAGCGCGGATGCAGTCAAATCCAGGTCAGTTTGTCTCTGCGAGTCGACAGAAGTCAATGTGAGTCAACAAAAGTCAATCCGAGTGAACAGAAGTCAATGTGAGTCAACAAAAGTCAATCCGAGTGAAGGAGTCAATGTGAGTCAACAAAAGTCAATCCGAGTGAACAGGAGTCAATGTGAGTCAACAAAAGTCAATCCGAGTGAACAGGAGTCAATGTGAGTCAACAAAAGTCAATCCGAGTGAACAGGAGTCAATGTGAGTCAACAAAAGTCAATCCGAGTGAACAGAAGTCAATGTGAAGTGAACGAAAGACAGCTCGGCCTTCGAAACAGTGGCGTTGGAGCAGAACCGTTGAATCGTGATCAGCGACTTGCAGACTAAGAAAGACAGCTATCCCAGTCATTGCCGTGTTTGACTTGTGTTGACTTCTCTGAACTCCCGTCTGACTCCAATCTTCTCAGGCTCAAGAAGTTCAACTCCGCATTTGAGGAGGTGCCGTTGGAGCAGAACCGTTGGATTGTGATCAGTGACACACAGAGGAAGAAGACAAGTCTCCCAGTTTCTCCTGTGTTTGACTTGCGTTGACTTGCATCGACCTCCCTTAACAACTCCTCTTCCTCTCAGGCTCAAGAAGTTCAACTCCGCATTTGAGGAGGTGGCGTTGGAGCAGAACCGTTGGATCGTGATCAGCGACTCGCAGAGGAAGAAGACGAGGATTCGATTTGCCCGCACGCTCAAGAATGCGTATCTGGAGTTCCTCACACCACACAGGTAATTGTCACTCAGTGTCCTGCGAGAATTACATGCGTGTGGTAACTGTTGCCAGTTAGAGCGTACGCCCGCCAGCAAACTCTCTGCTTTTGAGGCGCCTCAAAAGAGACTCTCCGTGTCCTGTGCGAATTACATGTGTGTGGTAACTGTTGCCGGTTAGAGCTTACTCAAATGCGCCTACCTTCCTCATCTCCCATCTCCCCTCTTCTCCTTACCCTCCTCCCAACCCCACACCCCCCATCCCGCTTTTCAGGGAGATCATAGCAGACATCCCAACCTATCAGTGGTCGCCAGATGGCATCGAGCGGTTGATGCTCAAGTCCTTCTTCCTCGGTCGAAGCCTCCCTCTCATCATGACCGCTTGAGGGCCATTCTTCTGTGCTGCTACTGGACGGTCATACCTCCATACCTCCATGCCTCCACACCTCCACGCCTTCATGCCTATTGAGCAGTTGATGCTCCAGTCCTTCTTCCTGGGTCGGAGCCTCCCTCTCATCATGACTGCTTAACGGCCATTCTTCTCTGCTTGTTGAATGCTTTCCAAGCCCCCATGCCTATTGAGCGGTTGATGCGAAAGTCCCTCTTCCTCGGTCGAAGCCTCCCTCTCATCATGACTGCTTGAAGGTCATGCTGCTGCCATGCCTCCACGCCTCCACTCCTCCACGCCTCCTTGCCTCTTGCCTATTGAGCGGTTGGTTCTCAAGTCCTTCTTCCTCGGTCGAAGCCTCCCTCTCATCATGACCGCTTGAGAAACTTGGCCCAACAGCCGCCATACCACCGCGCCGCCACCATCCTCTCTCCTATGCTTGCATGCTTCCTCCGCTGCACTGCAGCCTCCCTCTTGTTATGACTGCATGAGAAACATAACATGCCTCCATGCTTCCTCCTTCCTTCATGCCTCCATGCGGGCATGCTACTATGCTCCCATGCTGCTTTGCTTCCTCAGCCAGAGCCTCCCGCCTTTAGCTTCCCAGTTAAGGTCCAGCGAATAACAACATTTCTGAAAAGTACATGTACCGCTAACCTACTACTCACCAAACTACACCTGAATAACCATATTAACGCAGCCGCTCAAATCGAAGATGTATCACCCCTCCCTCACATCCATCCGTAGCTCCTTATCCGCGCCTCGGATTTTCATTTCACTCCAGTTGCTTCTACTTCGATTCGACGCACCAGCAGGAAAGAACGTCTCTGAATTATTGCCGTTTGAGATAATACCGCAATACGTAGGCCGAGCCTTTTAGCAATGTTGCATAATTTCGTCATGCCGTTGGATTTGATACTCCACTGCAATATGTAGGCCGAGGCTTGAAGCCGCGAAGCGGCTCTGCGCTATAACGGAGCGACCCGAGCAAATCCAATCAATTTTCATCGATTGCGAGGGAAATTACCGCGAATCGCGACGCTTATGCGGCAACCGATTATCATTTTCTCCATATGTCCCCGGATAGATTGATTTGATGTCCGTTCACCATGTATTCTAGCCCTTTGCAATATTAAGTTTCCTTCGTTAGCTCTGATCTTCCGACTCGCTAAATGTCGCGGTTCGGCTGGGTGGCAGTTGGCTGGCCTTTGTGGCGCTCCTTAGTAGCCGTAGTAGCGGGTCTCGTGTTTATAACGCGGATACAAGCGCAAGGAGACGCGGGCCTGGAGCACGCGATGTCCTTATATCGGGTACAGCGCGGCATATCTACATCGTCCGTACATCAAATTCCTTATGACTCGTGTCCGTACATCGTCCCCCTTCCGCCGTATCCTTCCCCCTGAACATGTTCCCTCTCCCCCAACCGTTCCCCCTTCCCCCGTCTCTTCCCCTGACAGGCATGGGAGGCAGCATGTGGTGTGGGCTGCAGGCAGGCTCCCCCTTACCCCTTCTTCCTTCCGCCCTACCCAATCCCCCGACCGTTCCCCCTCCCACCCTGACCGTTCACCCTCTCCCCCACTGTTCCCCCTCCCTGACAGGCATGGGAGGCGGCATATGGGCTGCAGGCGGACGCCCCCCTTCCCCCTTCCGCCATCTCCCTCCCCCCACGCGTTCCCCCTCCCCCCCACCTGGAGGACTGCGCTGCCCTGACTGCCTGGCGCTGGGCGCAGGAGCAGGGGGAAGCGGGGGAAACGAGGGAAGCAGGAGTAGTGGGAGTAGGGGGGGAAACAGGGGGGGCAAGGGAAGCGGAGAAAGCGGGGGGACAGGGGGAAGAAAAAAAGGGGGAATCAGGGGAAGCGGGGAAAGTGGGGGAAGGCAAAGGGGGACGATTAGGGGAAGGCTCGCAAGTAAGCGGGGGAAGGGGGAAGCTTCCCCCTTGGGAGGCACAAGCTCACCCCCAGCCGCCCTGGATCCTCGGGTCTGACGCGGCCAATCTGGCGATGACACGTGTCGTTCAGAGGGACATCTGGGCGCACCAGTTCCCCCGTGCGGGGGACTGCAGCAGAGAACGCCTCCTATTGGTGGATTGGCCTAGCTCGGCGCACGGGATTGGCTCACAGCTGCATATCATGAGCGCGATTCTGAGCGTTGCAATGCGGTTCAAAAGGGTGCTGGTTCCTACTCGGGGATCATTCACTCGAGCTAGTCACCCTGATTGTGACGGTGAGTTACCACAAGAGGGTGTTGGTTGCTCAAGAGTCAATCTCCCACCCACATCCTCCCAACCAGCTGTATTTTTTTTTTTTTTAACGACTCAATAATAAGCAGCCACAGACACTTTTGGTTCCATCCATTGCTACATGTTCCCCCTGGCCTCTATTTGAGACGTCTCAAAAATCTTCCGCTGTTGCTTCTTCCCCGTCGCCTCTCCTGCCACTGCTACTCATCGACTGTTGCTGCAGCGGGGAAGAGTAGCAGTGTTAGTGAGCAGTGACTGTTGCTGCAGTCGAGGTACAAGACCCAGAACCTTCAAGAGCCCACGCAACTGTTGCTGCAGTTGATTTTTTTAGAGCCTCAAAAGCCACTACCTGTCCCCTTCGTTTCCCCCAACTTGCAGCCACAGGCACATTCGGTTCCTTCCGCTGCTACTTCTTCCCCCTCGTATCTCCTGCCTGCGAACGAACGAGAAGCTGAGCTGTCGTTGCAGTTGGCTATTAAGGTGCCTCAAAAGCCACTACCTGTCCCCTTCGTTTCCCCCAAATTGCAGCTACAGGCACCTTCGGTTCCTTTCACTGCTACTTCTTCCCCCTCGTATCTCCTGCCTGTGAACACGAAGCTGACCTGGCGGCGGCGGCGGCAGCAGCAGCCAATGGGTCGCTGCCACGTGTGACAGAGGAGAGCAAGGAGGCGGTACTGGGGTCAGATCAGCGCGTGGTGGTGTTCCATGGGGAGCCTTATAACGGATTGCGCTTTGAAGGGGATGTGAGGTGAGGGAAGAGGGTGGACTAGGGCAGGGAGTTTGGGAGAGGGAGTAGAGGGGAGGGAGAGTAGCGAGTGGTTGTGTTCCATGGGGAGCCTTATAACGGATTGCGCTTTGAAGGAGATGTGAGGTGAGGGAAGAGGGCGGTCTAGGGCAGGGAGTTTGGGAGAGGGAGTAGAGGGGAGGGAGAGTAGCGAGTGGTGGTGTTCCATGAGGAGCCTTATAACGGATTGCGCTTTGAAGGGGATGTGAGGTGAGGAAAGAGGGTGGACTAGGGCAAGGAGTTTGGGGGAGGGAGTAGAGGGGAGGGAGAGCAGCGAGTGGTGGTGTTCCATGGGAAGCCTTCTAACGGATTGCGCTTTGAAGGGGATGTGAGATGAGGGAAGAGGAAGGGGTTTGGGTTTAGGGCTGGGGGAGTAGAGGGAGGGAAGATGGGAAGAAGGAGGAGAGGAAGGGGTTTGGGTTCAGGGTTGGGGGAGTAGAGGGAGGGACGATGGGAAGAAGGGGGAGAGGAAGGGGTTTGGGTTCAGGGTTGGGGGAGTAGAGGGAGGGAAGATGGGAAGAAGGAGGAGAGGAAGGGGTTTGGGTTCAGGGTTGGGGGAGTAGAGGGAGGGAAGATGGGTGCAGGGGTTTAGGGGAGGAGGACGAGGAGGGTGTTCTGGCATCATAGCAGCACGTTGTGTGGTTTCACAGGGAGAGTTATAACGGATTCCACACCATTATCTTCCCCCCTCCCCCCTCCCCTTAACACACACACACACACACACACATCTACAGCCGTTGGCGCAATGCTTACCGTGACCGGCCTAACACTATAGAGCTCGTTGGATTCGTGGGCGAGGGGGATGACACGAGACAACGGGTGAGTGCGACGGGGTGTGCAGGGGTGTGCTTGGGTGTGCTTGGGTGTGCAGGGGTGTGCTTGGGTGTGCTTGTGTGTGCTTGGGTGTGCTTGGGTGTGCAGGGGTGTGCTTGGGTGTGCTTGGGTGTGCTTGTGTGTGCTTGGGTGTGCTTGGGTGTGCCCAGTCCATCCGCTTCTTCCTCCGCTCCCCTTCCGCCTACCTCTGCCACATCACCAATTATGTCCGCCTACCTCTGCCACATCACCAATTATGTCCGCCTACCTCTGCCACATCACCAATTATGTCCGCCTACCTCTGCCACATCACCAATTATGTCCGCCTACCTCTGCCACATCACCAATTATGTCCGCCTACCTCTGCCACATCACCAATTATGTCCGCCATCATTGGTGATTGCCTTACAGCCGAGTCTCCCCTCGCCTCTTCCTCCTTCACCTCCTCCCCCCCAACCATTCTCCCCACCTATAACCTCCCCCATTCAGGTTCACTGGTGGAGGGCTCAATCTATTCGCTTCCTCCTCCGCTCCCCCTCCGCCTACCTCTGCCACATCACATCACCCACATGTATCTGCTTTCGTCCCCTCACCTAATCTCCCGCATATGCACACCCCCCCCATTCAGGTTCACTGGTGGAGGGCTCAATCTATTCGCTTCCTCCTCCGCTCCCCCTCCGCCTACCTCTGCCACATCACATCACCCACATGTATCTGCTTTCGTCCCCTCACCTAATCTCCCGCATATGCACACCCCCCCCATTCAGGTTCACTGGTGGAGGGCTCAATCTATTCGCTTCCTCCTCCGCTCCCCCTCCGCCTACCTCTGCCACATCACATCACCCACATGTATCTGCTTTCGTCCCCTCACCTAATCTCCCGCATATGCACACCCCCCCCATTCAGGTTCACTGGTGGAGGGCTCAATCTATTCGCTTCCTCCTCCGCTCCCCCTCCGCCTACCTCTGCCACATCACATCACCCACATGTATCTGCTTTCGTCCCCTCACCTAATCTCCCGCATATGCACACCCCCCCCATTCAGGTTCACTGGTGGAGGGCTCAATCTATTCGCTTCCTCCTCCGCTCCCCCTCCGCCTACCTCTGCCACATCACCAACCGTGTCCGCCACACCTCCTACGGCCTCTCAGTTGCCGCCCGCCTCGCCGCCTCTGCCGCCCAGCAAGCCGCCCTGGCCCACTCCCACCCAAATATACTATCCTCGCTAAGAGCTGCTGCACCACCGTGTGTTGGCGGCGATCGAAGCAGTAACTTTGTTGGAGCAGCGATTGCTGATATAGGAACTAACAGTAGAAGTAGTGATGGGGTTTTTTACGTAAGCAGCAAGGGTAGTGACGCTGAAAACCCAAACAGCAGCAGTGGTAACTCCAGCAGTAACTCTACTGGTAACACTGATGGTGGTAACCCTGCTGATAACCCTAAACTGACCGGGGGATTCCCGGTTCTAGACAGTGTTCTGAATGGGTGCACTCTGGCGTCAAGGGCATGGGCAGAGAGGAGGAGACTCAGCAGCTGCTCCTGCAGCCGCACGGACAGCACCAGTGTCACAAATACAACAGTAACTGGCGTACCCGATATAACTGACAGCAGATTTCTCAACTACAGGCCTCTAGCTCTTGGGATTGAACCTTACGTGCCGCGGCCGATAGTGAGTGTGCATGTGAGGCAGGGCGACAAGGGAAGTGAGATGCGCCTCAACTCGTTCCCTGCCTTCATGTTCTTTGCGTATCGGCTTAGACGGGTTGAGCCGGACCTCAAGCACGTGTGGCTGAGCACAGAGATGCAGGTGAGACAGTGGGAGCGGGTTGGGCACACACCACATGTGTGACACCGCGGCCGATAGTGAGTGTGCATGTGAGGCAGGGCGACAAGGGAAGTGAGATGCGCCTCAACTCGTTCCCTGCCTTCATGTTCTTTGCGTATCGGCTGAGACGGGTTGAGCCGGACCTCAAGCACATGTGGCTGAGCACAGAGATGCAGGTGAGGCAGTGGGAGTGGGTTGGGCACACACCACATGTGTGACACCGCGGCCGATAGTGAGTGTGCATGTGAGGCAGGGCGACAAGGGCAGTGAGATGCGCCTCAACTCCTTCTCTGCCTTCATGTTCTTCTCCTACCGGCTGAGACGGGTTGACCCGGAGTTGAGACACGTATGGCTGAGCACTGAGATGCAGGTGAGCGAACATGGCAGTGGGCTGGGCATTTGCTGTGGGGTGGGGTGGGGCATCAGCTGGTTGGTTGGCATTAGCTTCATTCCTCTTGTTCTTGTTCCTGTTACTCCCCCCGCTTTCCATTTGCTTGTCTCTTTGCAACCTTGCAGTCTGTTATTGACCAAGCGACTCGATTCAAAAACTGGTCATTTCTTTACTCGCACAACCTGCGGCAAAGCAGCAACAAGCACATGGTGGACTACGAGCGAGACGTGGGGCACCAGCTGGTTGGCATTAGCTTTGCCAATCTGATTATTTCCTCGCAGTGTGATTATTTCGTGGGAGCGCTGGGCTCGAATTGGAACAGGTTGATTAATGAGCTCCGGGTAACTAATGGTCGGCTTTTTAAAGGCTACGTGACACTCAACAACGACGAGTTCTGATCTGATGCAAGGCATTACGAGAAAGAATTACGGTACAAGATTTGTTGCTTGAGTGTCACATCTGACACACTCTGATCCGACCACAAAAAGGAGATATCAGGTAGGACAGAAAGAAAAAATTATTCGATACACACTATGTATGGACATGCATATACCGTAGTATGATCTATGTTGTTCATCACCAAATACCGTAATTGCACTCCTTACCATCCAAGAATCAGTAAGGGCGGGAGTTGAGGTGGAAGAGCGTGTAAGTCGTTCACTTACTAACGCGAATAGGAAACACGTTTATCCAGGTGGTGTAGTGACACGTGTTCGCATTCGCCTTTTGAGCCACCTCGGGAGCTTTTCCGCTAACGTGGCACTCGTTCTGACCAGGCCATTCGCGCGCAAACCTAGATATCGTCCTGCCACGCTTCGGCTGGAAATGGCTTCTTCTGCCAACCTTTCTCCAGGCGACCTGGGGGGATTGGAATGGATATTCTGCTTTCGAAAAACGGTTGAATACGATGATGTGCGACGCGCTATTTGCTCAAATCACGGCTATGCATACCTGACCTAAACCATAGAGCACTGTACTTCCTGTCCAGTCAACTTGGCCTGACTCAGTAGCACATGGCCCATCAGATGTTCTAACTTCAGAAAAGCTTTGGGGCTCAGCCACCATTGAGTCTCGAAACGTTTCGTTATTCGCCAGGCGTATGCGTCCCGTAGCTCTCAATCGAATCCGTCGTTGGTAGCTTCTGTGGCTTTCAGAATCCTCCATCATTAATACTCGTTGATTCTGATCAAATCAGCCTAAATTTCCGCATTATTCTCTATTCATCATGGCTCACATGCTAAGCGCCAGCGCTGCTGACAGCTTGATGGCCAGAACCCTACCGTACCGGTACGCTCTGTACGGATTCACAAATATTAAACATCCTCCGGTTTCTCCGCTGACCAGCATCTCATTGCGAAGCGCCTTTTCCGGAACCGGGAGCTTCTTAGAAGCAAAGCACAACCGCAGAATCCCGAAACGGCGAATCTCGGGATTGCCGGGTCGTGCTCGTGCAGAGGATACTAGCGACGCCAGCGATGATAGCGACACTCCGGTCGTGGGAACAGCCAATGTCGCCGACAGGCCGACGACAGACGGCCCCCTCCTTCGGCCTCGATCTGTTTCCATACCCTTTGGGGATCGAGAGGTACGGTTGGTACAATGCCTATTCATGCTTTCTCTACCGTTTGAGCCTTTTCTTAATCTCTCGCTTTCGCATTATTTCCCTCCTTGTTTTTCTTCCGATTCCCCTGCTTTGTTTCCGGAATCACCTTCGACGCAGAATATATCCCTCGCGTTCTTTCGCATCCATTCCCTCCCATTCAACCCACTCCTTCTTTGCATGCTCTGCCTTTCAGATAACCATCGAGAGTGTTTTGACCAACGCGAAACACATCTCTCGCATTCATTCACATCCATTCCCTCCCTCTCATCTCCACGCTATGCTCTCAGATAACCGTTGAGGTGGGGCGGATGGGGCGACAGGCCAACGGCGCCGTGACTGTAACGGACGGAGAGACGGTACGTGCATATAACGAGCGATGAAATTTTACCTCACCGCCATGCGATTTCTTTTCACAATGGAACAAGCTCGCATGGTATTTTCCCCGGTCAGATTCTAGACGTAGCAAAACAGGATAGTTGGGGGACGAAAAGAGGGCAAGACTTCAAGCACTCAAGCGCAAATACAAGAACCAACAATCTCACTCGTCCTCTTGCCACCCAACAACCTTCCCTCCTCCTTCCTTCTCCCACTCCCCCCATAAACCAGGTGCTGTACTGCACGCGGTGTGCGTCAGAGGAGGAGAGTGAGCCCTTAGGCACACAAGCGCACATTCACGAACCAGCAATCCCACTCCTGCCACTTAACAACCTTCGCACATCCCCCTTCTCCCACTCCCCCCCATTACCCAGGTGCTGTACTGCACGGTGTGTGCGTCCGAGGAGGAGAGTGAGCCATCAGACTTTGTGCCGCTCTCTGTGAGCTACCAGGAGAGGTTCAGCGCTGGGGGGCGCACCAGGTGAGAACGAGTGACAGACTTGCAACGCTCAGAGTCCTGTACCGTACACACCATGCTCTGACTTCGTGCTGCTCTCTGTGAGCTACCAGGAGGAGGGGTTCAGCCAGGTGAGAGAACTAGTGATGGGGGCTGCAGCAGGTGAGAGTCAGTGCCAGACTCGCACCGGCCAGGTCCTGTAGTGTGCTGAACATGGATGGGAGTGGCGGCTGCTGGGGGCGACACTGGGTGAGAACGACCGCTGAGAAACGTACCAGGCTATTCTTGATATTTGAGGCTCGTTCATCCCATTTCCCTTCTCCCCCACTGCATGGTGATTCGGCCCCTCACGAGTGGCCTCCTGCTTTAACCCCCTTGTCCACACCTCACCCTTCCTCCTGGCTGCAGTGGGGGCTACTTCAAACGGGAAGGCCGGCCTAAAGACCACGAGGTACGCTGCAGCGCCACTGTTGATGGCTTCTTGTAAGTCGGAAACATGATTACAACAGATTATAGCAGTGTGACAGTATCTAAGCTTGCCTGGGGTTTGGGGCACAGGGTTGCGCGGATAGGAGAGGCCAAACAATGTGTACGCTGGCTCTTTTGAAATCACTTTTGAGAATTCTCAAAAGTGATTTCAATATGCGCGGATAGGAGAGGCCAAACAATGTGTACAATGGTTCTTTCAACCGTTTCTTCTCCCCTTTTTCCCCATCTGTTTCCTCATCAGATCTTGGTGTCTCGCCTCATAGATCGCCCGCTGCGTCCCATGGTGGCCAAGGGTTTCAACCACGAAGTACAGGTCCTTTCGTGGGTGAGTAGGGGTATAGGGTTCAGAAAACAAAATCACAAGGGATGTGAATGCTGGTTCTAGCATGGCTTGGGCGCAACGCGTGATTTATGGCTGGAGCTTTATGGGAAGAGGCTCTGGAACGATGCAGATTACAGCATGTTTTGTTCTCGAGTCATCCGATCACCTCTCCGAACCTGCTGTTGACGAATCTCGAGAATGCCTGCCAAGTACCCAGCTAAAACCCTGAACTCCGCGTTTCTCTTTCCGGCCCTCTCTCCATACCCTCCCTTCCTTCCTGGATGGCAGCTGTTGAGCTACGATGGGGAGCACAGCCCCGACGCCCGTGCCATCACCGCTGCTGGCACTGCTTTTGAGTTGACTCAAATGTCATCCCTAAACCCATGACCTCCCTCCTTCCCCGCTCTCCCTTCCTGGATGGCAGCTGTTGAGCTACGATGGGGAGCACAGCCCCGACGCCCTTGCCATCACCTCTGCTGGTGCTGCTCTGTAAGAACCTCTTCCCCTTCTCTTCCCTGCACCCCCTGCTCCCTTTTTCTCTCCCCTTCTATCCCCTGCAATGTTTTCCTCTGCTTATGGCTACGCACCTGTCCTCAGTTCCCTCCCCCCCCTCCCAGGGCTGTATCAGACACCCCCTGGCGGGCATAGTGGCGAAGATGCGAGTGGGCATGGTGAATGGCGCTCGGTCGTCAGCCCCACCAACCAGTTCCTCCTTTTCTTCCATGCGTCCTCCATGCACCCATCTTCCCCCACCCTTCACCCCAGGGCTGTATCAGATATCCCTTTGGCGGGCATAGTGGCGGGGGTGTGCGTGGGCATGGTGAATGGCGCTCTGGTGCTGTGCCTATCCACTCGGCCTCCCTTTTCCACCCTCCACGCACCCTTCCCCCCATCCTTCCCCGCCTTTCCCCAACTCCCCGAGGCTGTATCGGATATCCCTTTGGCGGGGATAGTGGCGGGGGTGCGTGTGGGCATGGTGAATGGCGCTCTGGTCGTCAACCCCACCACCAACCAGCGGCGCTCCTCCCTCCTGTCCCCACCCTTTTCCCACCCTTCCCCCCCCACCGCCCCCCCCAATTCCCCATTCCCTTCCCCCAGGGCTGTGTCAGACATTCCCCTGGCGGGCATAGTGGCGGGGGTGTGTGTGGGCATGGTGAATGGCGCTCTGATTGTCAACCGAACCAACCAGTTCCTCCTTTTCTTCCATGCGTTCTCCATGCACCCATCTTCCCCCACCCTTCCTCCAGGGCGGTATCAGATATCCCCCTGGCGGGCATAGTGGCGGGGGTGCGTGTGGGCATGGTGAATGGCGCTCTGGTCGTCAATCCCTCCAACCAGCAGCTGGAAGGGTCGCCGCTAGACCTGGTGGTGGCTGGGACTACAGACTCGGTTCTCATGATCGAGGTATAGTCAATTCCAGTCAACCCCAGTCCACGTGAACCTGGATGGCTCAATTGTAGTGTACGGCCCTGCATGTATCTGCTTGTCGTGTAGTGCCCGCACCAACCAGCAGCTGGAAGGGTCGCCTCTAGACCTGGTGGTGGCTGGCTGGGACTATTGACTCGGTGCTCATGATCATATAGACGTGCAACAGCTTAGCTTCTCCCAAGGCTACTGGAACCTTCTGTAGGTGTTGCCTCACCTACTGGAGCAGCTAGAGGAGGACGTGGACGTAGAGTAGGTGCTCACCTGTTCCGAGAATCCTTTCCGAAACCTATCAAGTACCCCTTTTTGCCCTTTTGCCTGTTCTTTGCCTGCCCACCTCCTCCCACTCTCTCCCCAGGGTTATTGCAACCTCCTGTCGGAGGAGCAGCTTCTGGAGGCCGTTGCGGCAGGGCAGGTGGGTGGTTATATTATATGCGTCAATATGCATACTGAGATTGTCATTTTGAGGTTCTCATGAATCTTTGCTGTTGATTGTTCTACGCCTTAAAGTTCTTCCTTCTTAATCGCCCATTATGAAAAGCATTCAATCCAGCTTGCACCGGTGGACCCTGGAGGTGGAGGCCCCACCGGTGCAGCTTTGGCTGCAACAGGAGAGTCTCAAAGCCCAAGCTCACTGCCGCCATCCACGCCCCACCGGCGGACCTGCTGGCTCGGCTGGAAGCCCTAGCAGGGGCGGTGCTGAAGGAGGCTATTTTTGAGTTGACTCAAAAATAAACTCGGCTGGAAGCCCTAGCAGGGGCGGTGCTGAAGGAGGCTATTTTTGAGTTGACTCAAAAATAAACTCGGCTGGAAGCCCCGCAGGGGCGGAGCTGAAGGAGGCTATTTTTGAGTTGACTCAAAAATAGACTCGGCTGGAAGCCCCGGCAGGGGCGGAGCTGGAGGAGGCTCCTAACCCTCATTCAACTCCCCCTTTCCTCGCTTTTGCATACGCCCCCCTTGTTGCACACCCCCACGCACACCCACTCATCCACCCACCCAATCCACCGACGCACAGAAAGCCATCCGTGCGATTTGATTTGTCACGGCTTACACAGGTGGACGCAGGAGACTGAGGGAGTGGCAAAGCCCAAGCTCACTGCCGCCATCCACACCCCACCGGCGGACCTGCTGGCTCTCACACGCACTCATATACACTCATACACCCCCACTACCTGCAGAGGGCCATCAGTGCCATCTGTCACGGCCTGCACAAGTGGACGCTGGAGACCGAGGGAGTGGCAAAGCCCAAGCTCACTGCCGCCATCCACGCCCCACCGGCGGACCTGCTGGGTCGGCTGGAGGGACTAGTAGGGCCGGATTTGGAGAAGGCACTGAGGATTGAAGGGAAGAAGCAGCGGGGGGTGGCTATGAAGGCGATTGAAGAGAAGGTGCTGGGGGCGCTCACAGAGGCGGGGCAGGCCGCAACCAGGCAGGTGAGAGCTGAGGGGTTGGCTGAGAAAAGTGAGTTTTGAGCTGTCTCACCTGCTGGCTGGGCTGGAGGGTCTGGCCGCCACCAGGCGGGCGCTGGGGGCTCTCACAGAAGCGGGGCAGGCGGCCACCAGGCAGATGAGCAGAGGGGCGGGCATAGGCTGTGGAAGGTGGGTCCTGAGCTGTCTCATGGCTCGGCTGGAAGCCTGGCAGGGAGGGAGGTGGAGGGGCCGCTGAGGATCGAGGGGAAGAAGCAGCGGGGAGCGGCGATGAAGGCGATAGAGGCAGGGCAGGCCGCCACCAGGCAGGTGAGACGAAGGGTGAACAGAAAGGCGGAAGGTCAGTCAGAGCCGCAACGAGTCATCTTGAGTCACTGCATATTGGCACCCATCCCCACCCATCTGTCCCTCTTTTGGCTGGCTGGCAGGTGGCAAAAGGGGAGGACGAGGGGGCGGATCTGGCAGGGGTGGAATAGGGGCTGGTGGTACTGCCAGGGGACGCCACTCGCACTGTCACCCAGGCCTTCCCCACCCCACCCATCCTCACCACTCCCCACCCAACCCAACCCCCACTCCTTTGGCTTTCAGGCGGCGAAGGAAGAGGACGAGGAAGCAGAGCTAGCAGAGGAAGAGGGGTTGGTGGTTCCCCCAGGGGACGTAGACGAGGGGGAGATGCACGTGAAAGGCACAGGGACGGGGGTGGGGAAGGGCGTGGGGAAAGGCAAGGGGAGGGCGGATGTGGTGGAGGTGGCATATGACCCAGTGGATGTGAAAAAGCAGCTCAAGGAGCTGACGTCCCGAATCATGCGGCGTATTATCGTCACTGTGAGTGTGTGTGTTTGCTTGCTTTGAAACACCTCAAAACAACAAGTGCCATATGGCCCGGTCCAGTGGAATGTGAAGAAGCAGCTCAGGGAGCCGACGTCTCGGATCATGCGGCGCATTATCGTCACTGTGAGAGCTGAGATGTGTCAAAATGTGTCTTGCTTGATCTGATCAAAACAAGAAGACATAGACAGGGAGGTTGGGGTATGACCCGGTGGATGTGAAGAAGCAGCTCAAGGAGCCGACGTCTCGGATCATGCGGCGCATCATCGTCACTGTGAGAGCTGAGATTTGGCAAAAACCTGTGGCGTGCTTTTGAGTTGATTCAAATGCCACCACGCTCCATGATCCGTCCCCATCCCCCATGCCCCATGCCCCATGCCTCATGCCCCATGCCCCATGCCCCATGCCCCATGCCCCATGCCCCATGCCCACCCATGTTTCTCCCCCCCTTCCTCTGCCTGCAACAGGAGGGCCGTCGCAGCGATGGGCGGGGTACTAGTGACGTGCGCCCCATCGAGTCGGCCTGTAGTGTCCTGCCACGTGTACATGGCAGCGCACTGTTCACCCGAGGGGAAACACAGGTGGGTGGATGAGTGGGAGGGGAGGTGGGTGGGTGGAGGAGGGGGGGAATGGTTGGATGGGTGGGTGGATGGGAGGATGGTTGGATGGGTGGGTGGATGGGGGGATGGTTGGATGGGTGGGTGGATGGGGGGATGGTTGGATGGGTGGGTGGATGGGGGGATGGTTGGATGGGTGGGTGGATGGGGGGATGGTTGGATGGGTGGGAACAGGTGGTTTCTGCATTTCCATGAGGAGTTGGGTGGATGGGTGGAAGTGCAGGCACAAGTACATGAGATCCTTCGCCCTTCCCCTTCCCCCTTCCCGTTTTTACCCAACCCCTTCTCCCCCCCTCCTCCCTCTTTTCCGTTCCCCCTTTTCCCCTTCCCCTTTGCCACTTCAATAATGCCCTTTTGCTTTGTGACCCATCCCAGGCCTTGGCAGTAGAAACGACTGGACCAACCGAATTCACTAATATCCCTCTTCTCCCTCCCTCCTCCCCATTTCCCTCTTCTCCCTCCCTCCTCCCCATTTCCCTCCCCTTCTTCCCCTTCCCCATTTACCTCCCCTTCTCCTAATTCCTGCTTCCCCTTTCCCCCTCCCCCTCTCCCCCCAGGCACTGGCGGTGGCGACCCTGGGAGGGGAGGACAGTGCGCAGAGGTTGGACCACCTCACTGCCACGTCAGAGTTCAAGCGGTTTTACTTGCAGGTGTGTGCATGTGTGCCTACAATGGTGTGTGCTTGTAATGGTGTTTGCCTTTATTGGCATGTACGCGTGCTGGTATTCAGGATTGGACCACCTCACTGCCACGTCAGAGCTCAAGCGGTTTTACTTGCAGGTGAGATGTGCGGCTGCATAGTGTTTTGGAAGGAGGATTGCGGAAGGGGGAGGAAGGGTTACTGTAATGGTGTGACAGCGCACAGCGATTGGACCACCTCATTGCAACGTCAGTCAGACCTCAAGCGGTTCTACCTGCAGATGTGTGCTTGTGATGGTGTGTACCTGTAATGTTTTCTGCCTGTAATGGTTTCTGCCTGTAATCGTGTGTGCTTGTGATGGGTCTGTTCCTGTAGTGGTATGGCCTTCCTTGGTGGGTGAAAAACCTGCGGGGTTCACGAGCCACAGGGAGGTGGGGCACGGCGCTCTGGCGGAGCGGTCACTGAAATTCTAGTCCCTGTGCCTGTTTTCCCCGCGCTCTCCCAATTCCTCCCCTCGATTGCAGTACACCTTCCCCCCCTCCTCCGTGGGTGAGACGGGTCGTGCAGGGTTCACGAGCCACAGGGAGGTGGGGCACGGCGCTCTGGCGGAGCGGTCACTGAAATTCTAGTCCCTGTGCCTGTCCTCCCCGCTCCCTCCCAATCCCTCCCCTCGATTGCAGTACACCTTCCCCCTCTCCTCCGTGGGTGAGACGGGTCGTGCAGGGTTCACGAGCCACAGGGAGATGGGGCACGGCGCCCTGGCAGAGCGGTCACTGAAATTCTAGTCCCTGTGCCTGTCCTCCCCGCTCCCTCCCAATCCCTCCCCTGGATCGCAGTACACCTTCCCGGCACGGCGCTTTAGCTGAACGGTTGCTGGAGCCAGTTCTGCCGGATGCAGCTGTAGCAGAGCTCTCCCCAATTCCCCCCTCCGTTTCCCCCCCGACCCCCCTGAATCATGTCCCCCCATCACCCCCTTCCTGTCCCTGCCAGTACACCTTGCCTTCTTCAGTGGGTGAGACGGGCCGCGCCGGGTTCACGAGTCGCAGGGGGGTGGGGCATGGAGCTTTAGCAGAGAGGTCGCTGGAGCCGGTGCTGCCGGATGCAGCAGACTTCTCCCTCATTCGCTTCCGTTTCCCCCAAACCCTACCCCTCGTTTCCCCCTCGGTACACCTTCCCGCCTTCTTCGATGGGTGGGACGGGCCGGGCGGGGTTCACGAGTCACAGGGAGGTGGGGCACGGCGCTTTAGCGGAGCGGTTGCTGGAACCAGTGCTGCCAGATGCAGCAGGCTTTTCCCTACACCCCTTTCCGTTTCCCCCAAACCCTCCCCCTCGTTTCCCCCTCAGTACACCTTCCCGCCTTCTTCAGTGGGTGAGACGGGCCGGGCGGGGTTCACGAGTCGCAGGGAGGTGGGGCACGGAGCTCTAGCAGAGCGGCCGCTGGAGCCGGTGCTGCCGGATGAAACTCTGACAAAGCTCTCCTTCCGATTCTCCTCCTCATCCCCCTCCTTTCCCCCGCACAGTACACCTTCCCGCCGTCATCGGTCGGGGAGACTGGACGTGCGGGGTTCACGAGTCGCAGGGAGGTGGGGCACGGCGCTTTAGCTGAGCGGTCACTGGAGCCGGTACTGCCGGATGCAGCAGGGTTCCCCTACACCGTGCGCGTGGAGTCCACCATCACGGAGAGCAACGGCTCCTCCAGGTGGGTTTAAGTGGAGGGCTTGGGGTTTATGTGTTCAGGGTTCAGGGTGTCTAAGGGTTTAGGGTGCAGGGGCACGGGTGGAGCCGGTGCTGCCGGATGCAGCAGGGTTCCCCTACACCGTGCGCATGGAGTCCACCATCACAGCGAGCAACCTCCAGGTGCGTTAGGGTAAAGAGTGTTCACGGATCAGTTTTGTCTGTGTTGTCTAACCTTATGTCCAGGTGCTGTCAGTTATTCACAGACATTCAAGGGCCGAAAGGATATGCCCTCTAGGATCCTCTTTTGAGGCGCCTCAAAAGTCGAGAGGATATCCCCTCAAGGATCCTCCCCCTGTGGCCAGTGGCAGGCAGGCATTCTCATGGGCCTGACTGATTCCCCGCATCCTCACCCCCCCTCTACCCCCAAGTCCCCTTCCTCCCCCGTGTGTCTCGTGCAGCATGGCCTCTGTGTGTTGGGGGTGCCTGGCAATGCTGGACGCAGGGATGCCCCTCCTCGCACAAGTGGCGGGGGTGGCAATGGGGCTCATTCTGCACACGGAGCAGGCAGGAGAGGACGGGACATGGTGATCCTGTCACACATCCTCCTCCCCTCTCCCCCCTGTGTCTCCTTATGCAGTATGGCGTCTGTATGTGGCTGGCTGGTGCCTGGCAATGTTAGATGCAGGAGTGCCACTCCGTGCGCCAGTGGCGGGGGTGGCAATGGGGCTCATTCTGCACACGGAGCAGGCAGGAGGGGACGGCACTTTAGTCATTCTCACCATACCACACCCCTCACCACTCCCCTTCTTGCAGTATGGCATCAGTGTGTGGAGGTTGCCTGGCAATGCTGGACGCAGGGGTGCCCCTCCGTGCGCCAGTGGCGGGGGTGGCAATGGGTCTCATTCTGCACACGGAGCAGGCAGGGGGGGACGGCACTCCCATCATTCTCACAGACATTCTGGGGTCGGAGGATGCGCTGGGGGACATGGACTTCAAGGTGGTGGGCAGTGCCAAGGGGGTCACCGCTTTCCAGATGGATATCAAAGTGCAAGGGATTACCATTGATGTGATGCGGACTGCACTGGAGCGGGCTAAGGAGGGACGTCTGCACATATTGGGTGAGTGGGGCAGGCAGGGAAGGGAATCTTCTGACCCTTACAGACATGTCAATGTGAGAGATACTGACAGACATTCTGGGGTCAGAGGATGCGCTGGGGGAGATGGACTTCAAGGTGGTGGGCAGTGGGCGGGGGGTAACGGCCTTTCAGATGGATATTGAAGTGCAGGGGATTACTATTGATGTCATGCAGGCTGCTCTACAGCGAGCCAAGCAGTGGCGGTTGCGCATACTGGGTGAGTGCGTTGAAAGCTGGTGTGCAGTGGGAGGGAAGTGACAGAGTTCCAGATGGATAAGAAATATGATAATATATGTGAAAGAGTTCAATGTAATATATGTGAAAGTACTAGTGTGTCTGCTTATAGGTTCCTCCTCCTCTCTTCCCACTCCCCATTACATGCACGCATCCATGCACCCATGTACCCATGTGCTCATGCACATGTACCCATCCACATATACCCACGCGCCACCCGTGCACCCATCCATGCATGCACCCATGCACCCATGCATCCATGCACCCATGCATCCATGCACCCATACATACACCCATGCACCCATGCACCCAAGCATGCACCCATGCACGCATGCACCCATGCACCCATCCACATGTACCCATGTGCCCCCACACCCATACACCCATTCACCCATACACCCATGCACCCATGCATGCATCCATACATCCATGCAGGTGAGATGGCAAAAGCGTATCCTCCCCCGTCCAACCGCCTCTCGCAATACGCCCCCCGATGCGAGACCATCCAGGTGCGCAGTGCGGTGGGGTGGGATTTGATGGGGTGGGTTCGGGTGCGATTGAAGGGGGTGGGGTTGGGTGCAATTGAAGGGGATGGGGTGCGGTGGCACGGGTAAAGATCGATATGTTAGAATGCAATCATTGATTCATCCCCCACTTTGATCTCTCAGCACTCCTCTTCCCCTCTGTTTTGTTTGTTTCTTCGCTTGTTTTTTCCATCTGCCTCACCTCTTGTCTCCCCTCCTCTTTCCCCTCCTTTTTTCCCACCTTTTTTCCCTCCTCTTTCCCCTCCTCTTTCCCCTCCTCTTTCCCCTCCTCTTTCCCCTCCTCTTTCCCCTCCTTTTTTCCCACCTTTTTTCCCTCCTCTTTCCCCTCCTCTTTCCCCTCCTCTTTCCCCTCCTCTTTCCCCTCCTCTCTCCCCTGACAGGTTGACCCAGAAAAGGTGAATCTCATTATTGGCAGCGGTGGCAAGACTATAAAGAGTATAATCGAAGAGTCTGGCGTCGACTCAATCAACATCGAGGATGGGGGACAGGTATGAGTGATTCCATTCACCAGCATGTGGTTACCACCCGTGCATGGTTACCAATGTGTGGTTACCAGCATCCTGTTACCCAGCCTGTGGTTACCAGCACAGTGGCGCCCTCAGCGCAATCAAGAGCCTGTAGTCGACTCAATCAACATTGAGGATGGGGAACAGGTACGGCTAATTCTGGTTACCAGCATGTGGTTACCAGCGTGTGGTACCGGCTGGTTAGGGCGTGCGTATAGGGCCCCTTCTATTCCTACAAACTCCACTCTCCCCCCTCCCCCATCTCCACCCCCCCATCTCCAACCCCCCATTTCCACCCCCCCATCTCCACCCCCCCATCTCCACCTCCCCCTCTCCCCCATCTCCACTCCCCCATCTCCACCTCCCCATCTCCACCTCCCCCTCTCCCCCATCTCCACACCCCCTTTTTCATTCTCTCCCCCTCTCTAGCTGCGCGTATACGCGCGGTCGGAGGCTGCACTGGAGCTGGCAAGGGCGCGCATTGAGGGGCTCATACACCCCCCACCGTCCCCTTTTTTCCTGCCTTTTCCTCCACAATCTTACCCCCACCTCCCAACCAGATGCGCGTATACGCGCGGTCGGAAGCTGCATTGGAGCTGGCAAGGGCGCGCATTGAGGGCATCACATTCGCCCCACCGCCCCCATTCTTCCTCCCTTTCCTCCACAATCTTCCCCTCTTGCCTCTCCACAGCTGCGCGTATATGCGCGGTCGGAGGCGGCACTGGAGCTGGCAAGGGCGCGCATTGAGGGGCTGACAATGGTGCCGGAAGTGGGGCAGATCTACCGGTGGGTGTGACTGTAGTGCGTGTGACTGTAACGGGTTCTGATTGCATGTAATGGGCAATGGGCAACGGAGTGTGACTGTGCGTGTAATGGGTAGCTAATAGGTGTTGCCGATGGGCGAGGGCGCGC